AGAGCGACTGGTGTTTGGCTTCGCCACGCTGTCTCCACTAGATCGTAAGATTCGTGAGCAGAGGCGCCAGCCGAGCAGGGGAAGAGGCCCCTGCAGCGAAATGGACGAGTTCGGAGAAAGGCAGCTGTCCAAGGTGGGTGAAGAGCAGGAAGACACATCTGAAACTGCATCACAAGTGTGTTTATCTCTTCTTGATTCCAATTGCTGTGAAATAAGATAGTAACAAAAATATAGGACATCATGTCGATCAACGAAGCACCAACCAATGTCTTACACACCTCTGGCCATCTCTGCAGGTCCATCTCCCTCATCTGTGTCGGCGCCGTCGTGGCATGACAACATCGGAGACATTTGCAAGCGACCGCCGCCACGGAGGCTTCCTGGATCCCGTGGCGCTGTTTACTTTTCCGAAGTCCCGCTGTGGCTCTGCGCTGTGGCCTGCCATCCTGAAGGTAAACTCCTGGCATTACGCTTTTCTAGAGAATATTTATCTTGTGGTAGCTCATCTAATATGCTGCACAATTAAAGAATCATGAGGGCGAACTTGCTGATTACTGCTCCGCTCATCCAAAAGTCTGGGCTTGGGACCCTCAGGTCTGTCACTCTATAACATGTTTTAATCGTTTATTAACGAGCCTATGTGGCCCGGCAGATGTCTAAATGCAATTATCTTTAGATGTTGGAGTTTAACAGAAGATGAGTTTCCAAACGCAGGCTTGAGCACTCACAGTTAGCTGAGAACTGCAGATACAAGAACACTTTTTAAAAAACAGAAATCTCATACACAAAGCAAAATGGCTTTGCAGATGTTTTTCAGATGACAAAATATGCAATAGGACAGAGGTGGCCTTCAATAGATAGGAAAAAAACTGACTTAGAGAATATGATAACACATACAAATATACTACCAATTCACCAAACAACAGTCACATTACAGATGTTTGCTTCTTCTCACCTAGCGCCCGGGAAGCGCGGCCTAACTCGCTAGACCGTCTGCTCAGTCATGATCGGAGCATCGTCAAATGGCTATTTGTGGTAACTGTGAGGCTGCCGGTTTCCAACCCAAGAGTAGACACACTGCTGTCCAAGCTCAGGCTCGGCGGCAAGAATCAGGGCGCGCGCTGGTGGACTTTAATTTTGAGCCGCAGGATACGTCTCTCACTCTCACTCATCGCTCTGGGCCCGCGCGGCTCCGATTGCAGCGCACACCTTACTGCATCCTGAGGGTCTCCTCACTCGCGCCGCCTGACGCCGCCAACATCTCTCGATGACCTTGCCCAGGAGTCGGAGTGCACAGCGTCCCTGCGCTTGAACGCTACAGGCATCGCGAGAGCAGGCAAAGCTGAGCTTTCATGGCTCGCGCTGTCCTTCTGCCTACTTGGTTCCTTGCGACACCGCCAGGCACGCGGCGATCGCTTTTGCTTTTTTTCTTGTGAGGGAAACTCTGTTGTTCTGCAGCTGTTGTTGGCCGTGGAACCAGAGCTCGCAGAGCAATGAAGAATGCAAGCAACTGATTACTTGTAGAATGCTTAGAAAAGTGTGTGTTTTTATAAGGCAAGGTCACTTTAAGGCTTTGTGTAGGCTCTCGCAGGTGTGTTGAATATGTCAATAAGAGTATTTTCAATCAGTCTGCTAACCAACCCTGCGAACCCCGCTGGGCGCGCTCGACTAAGTTCAGCCCTTTTTTAATTTTGAGCCCACGTCGACTCCCTCCTGCGCTTGACCACCCTGAAGTACCCGAAGAATATGTGGAACTAAATATGAGTTATCTGTTGTCGCTGCTGGCATTGATTTGAGACATTTTTGTCCATTAAAGAGCACTTGGCGGTGGCGCAGTTCTCATGGGCTTTTTCTCAAGCTGATTTCTCTTAAGCGTATAAAGCTTGCTCCGCGAGCCGTAGCAAATACTCATCCTGCTTCATCTGCTTGGGTGTTTTGTGATGCTCCGGCGGTGGGCCAGGGTGTGAAGGAGGAACAAAGACCACACTCTTGCTCAGTCCTCTTCATTGATCGTTGCCACCGCTCCAGCCTTGCCACACACGCTCGGTTGCTGCTGGAGATGCGGGTTGCTATGTGTGCTCGGTCGGGGCCTCGCGGATCTTCGCACGTCGCCTCTTCTCACTACACATAGGGCCAGCTTATCTGTCTCCTCTTGCCTTGGAGAAGGCCAGCGCTGGCTGTTTGTAAGCCACAGGCCAGGCGGAATAGAATCGCTTTTATTCCTCTTCGAACAATTTGTCTGCGTCGCGCCACCCCTCAACAACTCACGCTCGCCAGTTGGAAAAGGAGGCCTGGTCCGTAAACATCAACGACGCTTCGCTCACGTTACTCATGCTCAGCCTCGAGCCATCGTTACAGCTGCTCGTCACCTCGCTCTCGCTGATCGAGGAGTCCGCTTAAGTAACAATCAAACTCTCTTCTGCGCCCACTCGATATAATTGACGTCGTCGCTGGCGCACCACCAACAGTGCTGAGATTCAGGGTTTTCGCGCACTTCTCACATGTCACAGCTGCAGTCAGCGGCTGCTCACGGTGCCAACGCTCATCACAGACTACAGTCGCTCGAATCGCGCGCATCATCTGCGCCAGATGGCGCCCATACACGCCCTCAACTGGACGCCGCAGACGCTTTGCTCGCCGCTTCGACTTTTGGTCATTGACACAGATCTGCGCCGTGGCTGGGCAGCCCCCCCCACACAGGAATACCTTCGCTTGGGTGTCTCCAGGCTGACTGCTCTGCGACTGTGCGGACACCCTGTGTCACCCGGCCTGTGGCAGCGCCCCCGGAGTTAGCAGTCTTGCGGTTGTTTTCGACCAGACATTCTGTCTTGTCAGCGCCAAGATGTCGTTAAGGCTGGGGGGGACGATCGCCGAGTGTGTGAGCGCCGCCGAGATAGCAGACCACTTCTGTTCAACTCCACATCTCACTGTCGCTCAATGTCGTACGTTACAAATCCGCGGCAGAGAACGGAGAAACACGTTTTCTTATTCGCTAAGACAGGGAGGCCGGCTCGCATTCAATGCCTTTTCGGGCTTTTTCGCTGTTCCTGTAACGTGTTATATCATCTTTTGCTGGGCATGCTTCACATCGGTCCGCCCGCCTCCGGCCTGAAACGGCCTCTCTCGCGCGCCCTTCTCGCTCTGCCCTCTCCTTACTCGGTGAATCACATCGTAGACGACTTTGCCGCTCTATCTCGCACTCAGCGGCTCGCAACACATGGAAAAAAAAAAAAGACAAAAAAAAAAAAGAAAAAAAAACAAAAAAAAAAAAACAAAAAAAAAAAAAAAAAAAAAAAAAAAAAAAAAAAAAAAACAAAACAAACAACACAAGAAAAAAAGGAGGAGGGCACACAGCGAAGAAAAAAAAAAAGAACAAAAGAAAAAAAAAGCCGACCCACAACAAAGCACAGAGGAAAAGAAAAAAAAAAAACAAAAAAACAAAAAAAAAAAAAAAAAAAAAAAAAAAAAAAGAAAAAAAAAAAAAAAAAAAAAAAACAAAAAAAAACAAAAAAAAAAAAAAAAAAAAAAAACACAAAAAAACACGGGACATACCACGGCTAAGGGGCCGGACTCACGCAACTCACAAAATATGAAAATCAGCACAATCAGGGCCCTTTCAAAGTTCCAATCTGGTATACCGCGGGCAGCCACTCTCGCCCATTTACCTAAGGCTGAGTATTCAAATCTCTACCTGCTGGCCGCATCTGCTGGATGTCTTCTCTCTCTCTTCCTCCTTTCTGTCTATTCTGGGGCTTTTCATCCAATAACAGCCAACAGCAACGAAAAACCCCCCCGCAAATCCAAACGAAATGTAATGTTACACACATCTGGTTGGTTTATAACTTGATAAAGCCAACTGCGCGATTACACTTCCGGGCGGTTGTACACTATTCTCTTACCCAGTAGGTCCTCTAAACATGTCGTTGTCCACTATCCATCAAATGATCGCTTGTGTTCGCCACCTCCCAGCATCTTTTCTCGCGTCCATCAGGTCTGCCGCCGTCATCACGCGACCTGCCTGGCTCTTGGGACTCGCGTCGTAGTGCAAGAAGAACGCCACTCGTGCAGAAGCCTGCCCTCGCTGCGTGGAACGCCTGGCCGCACCTCGGCATACTGGCTGCCGACAAGACGCGGGCCCTCACCACCAAACCAAGATGTGTCGTGGACCAGTAGGTTTCAACGCATGCGATGTACTTTAAGGGCGGACTATTGTGCAAAATCCAGCTTTTTCACTGTCTTTCCAATACATACACATGTCCCCACTTGTTTGTCTGATCCATTTCTATAAAACCTGTCTGAAATACTAGCTGATCAGGATTTTGGCCACTTTATGAATCGTCACTGGGGCGATTTTTGGCTTGTGTAACCATTAGCCATCACCCAACCAAGGTAACCCGCCCCCTCCCCCCACCCACCCTTATCACCTGAGCTCTCCTCCTAGAGCACCATTGTTGGCTTTTTGTAACCAATCTCTCACCCCCCCCCCCCCCCCCAGAGGGGGGCGTGGGGAGGGCTCTTTTTTCTCTGAAGTATGCAGACAGAGAATCGAGCCCTTTTGAACAGGGCTGAAACGAGGGATTATGGGATGCTGCAATGATCTGTTTGGTGTCTTGGGGCCAATGCTTCAGAGACATGTTTTGTATATATCTGAGACCTATAATATATTGATGAAAAACAGTATAATAGGGGACCTTTAAATCAGTCCAGAAGGGTCAGAAAGGAGTGCAGATCTGATGTGTTTTTCGTCCTGCAGATGTTCATCATTGATAAAGTCGACGGTGATAATGTTTCCCTGGGTCAGTTTGATATCTCCGGCTCAAAGTACACACCTGAAGGAGAAGTGTAAGTGTCACGAGAGTTTAAAATGTAATGTTTTAAGACCATGAACGCACACAAACAACCTTTTTCTGACTGAATGTTTTTATTTTCTCACAGGACAAAGAATGGCAGCTCTCTGAAGTGCGGCCAGCATGACGGTCTGGTTGAGCTGGCGACTATCTGCGCTCTGTGCAACGACTCCTCTCTGGACTACAACGAGGTCTGCAGAGAGCTACAGTTTGTGTCCATGATATAATGTTTAAATGTGACGCAATACCAACCTAAAATGTGCCTTTCTCATTTCTCTGTGATGCAGGCCAAGGGTATCTATGAGAAGGTGGGTGAGGCCACTGAGACAGCGCTGTCCTGTCTGGTGGAGAAGATGAACGTGTTCAACACTGAGGTGCGCGGCCTGTCCAAGGTGGAGAGGGCCAACGCCTGCTGCTCTGTAAGTCTACCCAAGATATCACACGGTGTGGAGAATGTAATACGTGTACATTAAAGGATTCGTTTAAAGCGATAAACACAAGGAAAATTATCTTAAGTATATAACCTAAAAGGTGATAATATTCTAATATCCACTCCCCTTAACCCTTGTGTTGTGTTCCAAAGCTGTTACCGTTCATGGTGTTCGCGGATCAATTTCATTGGTGGTATCATCCAATATTGTTTTAACTACATCATAACTAACTTATAATGCGTTCATAACCGTACAATCCTGTTGTAATTTAATGTTATGGCCCAAAACACATTACACCACATATTGCACACGTGCATGTGTGTGTTTAGGTTCAAGTGTTAGTGTACATATTCTTTGAGAAAGGTTGAGTTCTCGTGGGGGGAGGGGGGCAGAGGGAGGGGAGACCAGGTGCATGTTGCGAAAAATTATTGTTACAGTAGATGAAGGGGGTGGGGCTGGGGTGCCTAAAGTCAAAGATGAATCTTGATTGGGCCAAATTTGACCCCGAGTCACCCAAAACAATTATGCTGGGTCTCCCCAGACCCCAACACCAAATGATACACTTTCTTTTTTAGAGACCTTCAGACGTGGCAAAAATTGTCAAAATCTGTTTTGTAGTGTTTGTATAGCTGTTGTGGAGGATATCAGGAAGCCTTGTTCTGATAAAAAAATGTGAGCGTAGTTATTAATATCATTTTAACCTGAAACGGGTCACAGGAGACCCGACACAACATAAGGGTTGTAAGTAGTAAAACTAAAAACTGTTATTGCAGGTTTCAGTGGAACTATATCCATAACCTGCAGTGTTCTAATAGATATCCTTTGCTTAATTTTAGTTTTCCTTTTCCACCGGTTGATTTTCTTTGCTTTTTGTAACTTTTTCTGATTTTGTAACAGGTGATCAAGCAGCTGATGAAGAAGGAGTTCACGCTGGAGTTCTCCAGAGACAGAAAGTCCATGTCAGTTTACTGCTCTCCTGCCAAGTCTGGCAAAGCTCCTGTTGGAAACAAGATGTTTATCAAAGTGAGTGTGGGACATACAGTATGTTAAAAAAAAGTCAAGGCATCACCAAAGATATTACAATTCCTCCTCAGGTAATGTCTGAAGCAAATGTCAGGGTCATCTTTTTAATAGTTTTTGATATATTTCACTCACAACTACGACTGTGAACTTCATGGTGGCAGGAGAAGACTTAAATCATTAGGATGCCTCTTTGAAGCAAAATGTTGTTGCAGTCCATCCAAAAGTTGGAGGACTGACCTCCCGAAAAACATGCCACTAGCAAAGGAAAATATTTGAGGAATTTCAAACAGAATTAATAACAAACAGTTCCACATAAAGCTGTTTAAGTAGAAAGAAGTTGTCAAGAAATAGTCTAAATGAAGTTGAAATCAATGAAATGGTGTATATAACATATGCTATATATTGATAACGATTATATTACCTTCATCCCCAGGGAGCTCCAGAAGGAGTCATCGACCGCTGTGCCTACGTCCGTGTGGGAACCACCCGGGTTCCTCTGACCGGCGTCGTTAAAGACCACCTCCTGTCCGTCATCAAGGAGTGGGGCACGGGGCGCGACACCCTCCGCTGCCTGGCCCTCGCCACCTGCGACACCCCTCTGAGGAGGGACGAGATGAACCTGGAGGACGCCACCAAGTTTATAGACTACGAGGTAGGAGACAGAAAAGACATCACAGATGTATCTGTACAAACACACATCTCATTGAGATGCTGCAGTGGTTTGTGTACTTGATCGCAAGAAGTTTTCAAAAGACCTTAAACAATTTGCTCTCCTTTTCTCCAGACTGACCTGACCTTTGTGGGCTGTGTTGGCATGCTGGACCCCCCCCGTAAGGAGGTCATCGGCGCCATCGAGCTCTGCAGGGCTGCTGGCATCCGGGTCATCATGATCACCGGTCAGTATACAAGTCGTACATAAGGATGTGTGGCTTTTGCGTCCACTGAACTTTTGCAAAGCGACCACAAAGGGTTAAATAAAAAAAAGGGACAATTTCCACGCAAATAAAATGTGTGCAAAATCTTTGGTGAATCAGACATTGACACGGGGCAGATAGTGGTTGCAAATGATGCTCAATCCACATTTTTCCCGTCAGTATTTTAACCTCATCTTGTAAAACAACAAGCAAAGTCTGGACAAAAACAATGAAGTCTTCCTTTCTGTCCTCCCAGGTGACAACAAAGGCACAGCTGTGGCCATCTGCCGCCGTATTGGCATCTTCAGTGAAGACGAGGATGTGACTTCCAAGGCCTTCACCGGTCGTGAGTTTGATGATCTCGCTCCATACGATCAGAAGCTCGCCGTCAAAAAGGCTTGCTGCTTCGCCAGAGTGGAACCGGCCCACAAGTCCAAGATCGTTGAGATCCTGCAGAGCTTCGATGAGATCACAGCCATGGTGAGGAGAAGCAAAGAGTGTTCATTTGGTTGGGTTTGTACTGAAAATGAAATGATGCCAAATACATATCTTCCTCTGTCCTCGACCTAGACGGGTGACGGAGTGAACGATGCCCCCGCCTTGAAGAAAGCGGAGATTGGCATCGCCATGGGCTCTGGCACTGCCGTTGCCAAGTCTGCCTCTGAGATGGTCCTGGCTGACGACAACTTTTCCTCCATTGTGTCTGCTGTCGAGGAGGGCAGAGCCATTTACAACAACATGAAGCAGTTCATCCGCTACCTCATCTCCTCCAACGTGGGCGAGGTCGTCTGGTGAGTGCACGCTGACCAATAAAGACACACAAATGTCAGAATGTCAAACACTTTGAGAACGGGGAATTTGCATTCGGGCCGCGTAACACACTAGTTGTTTTATTGTATTATCTGAAAGTGTCCCCACCACTTTTCAAAACAAACCGACGCCCATTATCTAGGCCAGTGGTTCCCAACCTTTTTCCCCAAGAGCCCCCCCAAATGATTCCTGTTGGAAGTTGCGCCCCCCCACACACACACACACACACACACACACACACACACACACACACACACACACACACACACACACACGCAAAATGCTACAACTACCGTCACAAACTGGATGAATGTGAAGTATTTTGTTAAAGGAGGATGAGAGCGTAATTAAGGAGCACTATTGGAGTGACTGATGGTTATTGGACTCAGGATTCATTCATTTGGATTCCCGCTGTATGAAGAAATTAAAGGATGGCGCGGTAGTGGAAACAATTCACAAAGGGATTAAACTGTTTAAAACACATGCTCAAAGTAAGCCGGATTTTGCCGATGTGTTTATGTGGATTCAAAAGTCGTAAATAATCTACAAAATGGAGGAGACCGATCTGATCGGAGCAACTGTGACAAATAATCCAACTGAAACCGGCATGGACAATGACTATGTTTTAAAAATGCGCTTATCCAGAAAAGCCCGGTTTGGACACTTTACAGGCAGAAGAAACATTTATATTAAAGAAACAATTATACATTGCTGTCTTTTTATGCCTTTAATAGCTACTAACTTGAATTTTTATTAAAATGAATTAATCAATTATTTTGTATATGTTATTGTAATGTAGAGACAAGGCTTTTAGTGACAATCATGTATTGCGTTACAATTATATAAAAAAAA